ACACTGTCTATCTTATGTCTGATTGAAAACATCATTGGCTACGATCAATCATCGTTCATTGATTACAGGTTACTGTGATATTGTCAAACATTAAAAAAATCCATTTTTAAACGGTTATACGTTGGAACCTTCTACAACATGTGGCCTGTCTTTCTGAGTTATATTTTCTGTTCGTTCTATTACAATCTATTTGAACAAGAATCACATGAAAATGGTACCCTAAGATTTTGAGCCTGGAGCCACTGACACACTGTTTCAGAAGTCGAAACTATTCGATTATATTAGGATAATATCAACTAATAAATTGTTTCGTAACTTAGAGGTCAAATAAACACACGCACGCTTATATTTAGGACAGGAGAAATTTGAACAAATTTTCTTAAGATATCGGGGGAAAAACAATCTAGAACAGCCAAAAACCTTTTTAGACAGTCTCTTTTAAAAGTCAGCTTGTTTTTATTTGTTTTGTTATCTATTTATTCAGTTTTGTGAGTGTTATTTTTGTGCTTAGTTATAGATAACTGTTAAAGCCTTCCTTGGCTTATCCAGTAATTCGAACATCCCTTCTGATAAGTGTTACCTTTGTTTGGTGGCATTCTTAACTGTATTTTACACGGTGGGAAGAAGTAACAAATTTACAACATCACATGCTAACTGTCGTTGTTTCAGCGAAATAACATTATATAAAACATTCTTGATTGGTCCTTTTTCTCTTTATATGACATTAGGTGTCGGCTTACAAATTTTCCATGAGGCTCACAAAGGGTGGCACAGGACCATCACACATCCTTTCAGGATTCGTAATACTATATAAACATGCAGTAAATCTATACAATTTCAATTTCATACAAGTCATTTTTGTGATGAAGTGAAAGAACCAAACAAGGATGTCCAGAATGACGTCAGACCGAGCATACTAAGGACGATATATCACCAGTAGCTGGAAGTGATTTGAAGAATTAAATTCAGTCAGTGATGTAGTGCTGCAGTGCAACGAAAAATCCCACCTATTTTGTCGCTTGGCAAAGACGCATTTTCGCCATTCATTTTTTCCCCCTTCTTTTTACACGATTTGTTGAAAAGACCGCTCAAAAGCAATTAGACGAGAACTTCCTAATAGATTATTAGTTAATGCCCTAAATTGACGGCTTAAGGCATTTCATTTTCGATGTGTTACTCATGAATATGATTTGTTTGCAGCCATGGACCTGTTCAGTGTTATTTGTGATAATCAGGACATTGGAAATTCAGCTAATAAATAGCCACAGGCACTCATTAGAATTGTCTTGAATAATTTTAAGGGAAAAAACATACGGTGAACCTATAATATTAAGAGAAAGTCGCACACTTTAAGTTTGTACACCAATACCTTCTGCGATTATAACAGTTTATTTCACTTAACATCGCCATCACAATGAAATATGTTTTGTCTTTTCCGATAATCTGCATCCACAAATGTAGTACGTAAAGGTCCTGTCGGGAAAATATGGTCGCAATTTGCCGAGCAATAAACAAAACCTTTAATAATAAATTGAATAACGTGATAATCCTTGTTCGTAAAACAATGATATAACGGTAATTAACATCCGCGTCTCACCTCAAGAGGATGTGACTGTGCATGTGAGGAACATTTTGAAAAAAACATGGGAACCTGCGTGAAATGATGGCGAATAATAGCTGCCGTTGCATTAATCGGAGGATTGGCAAATGTAGCTCGACTAATTTGATTAGGATAGCATGACCATGGAAATCCGGAATATGGCTACTGACATCGCATGGCAACATAATTGGGGACGTTATCGTCGTGTCCTTTGAATTTATAAAAAAAATGTTGTATTCACTTTGATGGCCATTGAAATGCTTTGAATGAATGGTTTTCTTTATCAGTGACCAAAAATATTTGTGGTCACAAAATGCAAACAGAAGCAATCCGTCGTACGCGATGTTCAGGACTATATTGTGTTTACACAGTGTATAGCCTTGCTTCACTGTTCTAACAAACGTTCAAAATGATCAAAAGTCAGCACTCATCATTCTCTTCTTTCATAATCGTGATTATGATCTTTTTAACAGTCCATCCACGCTGACTGGTTTGACTAGATAACGGAAAAGCTGTAAAAGAAATATAAAACATGAAATATATTTCTTCAAAAATGTAAAAACAATAATTTTATTTATATAGGTAAAAATAACTGGTTTCAGGATCATTGTAAAACGAATAAATTTTGTATCATACTGACCTCAGGTTTGTTTTATTGCATTTAAATTTCTCTATGTTCATTTGCTGTTTAAAAAGAGGAACGATGACGTCAGGAACTATTCGGCCATAGAGTCGTCTTCAAAGTGAATGACGTACCAATACTAGTGCAGTATGGGAACGTCATCACGTGGCCCTGCCATTCTTGAATATCAAGTTTATATAAAATTAGCTATATTGGGACGTAAACACGTTGCCATGAAAAATTGTCATCAAACAAGAATAGACAAGGGAGAAATTTGAAGCTGTTTATATGTTGTTTGTAACCTGTCAAGGCTAATGCCATCCAATGATCAATAAGTTAGTGTTCGTACATTTTGACTATAGAACAGGACAAGTAAATTAAAACGTACTTAAGATTAGAATTTGAGTATCCTTTACAAGGGTGAGATATCCCCTAAATAGTGACTATCCCTCATCCGTTTACCTCCATTCTTATCTAGTCATACACACCATTGTTCTTAATAGATATAACATTTCTTTAAAAGTCATATACAGGTAAGTAAAAACTCTTTTTCAGAAAGTAATATTCAATTATGTTCCTATGGTATGACTAGGCTATATGCCAATGGATTTGGATAGAAATATTAAGGAATTTTCTTAATTCTATTTAAAACGTTACAAAACGTTACTTCATCAACGCAGCGGGCAGTTTTGTCAATCATGGATGTTTCACGTGACTTAAAGGTTATCTCTACAGTAAGAATTGGTCTGAACAATTTAAGAAGAAATTGGCCTTAAGGATGAATCGTTTTGTGTTGATCTTTTGCAAGATAGTCTGTGTACTTTGCCAATTCCTGATTGGCATAAGTCGCAAAAAAACTTTGCTATGACAACGAATCCGGAAGAACAGATCAAATACTGTTCCATTTGTAGGTGCACGTAGGATTAAAACCATCTGTGTTCAAAGCTGTCTTATGGCGTGACAAGAGCATATGATCGGAAATGGCTACTGTCATTTCCTCCATTTAACAGCTCATTCATATGATGGATCTGATGCCAGGAAGCACGTTATCAAAAATGTGATATATCAATTTGACATTGATGCCATAAAAAGCGAAGAAATTGAAAAATAAATCCAAATACATATAAGCATTATTGTTTACAAAATCTACACTGGTTTTCGTTGTGAAATTTGAGAATAAGTTTAGTGATTAACGGAAAACATTTATCATGAAACTTCATGAAACTGAAAGGCACTATAATCAATATGCCTTTTCCAATCCGAAGAATAATGTGATAGGTTTCTAATTTATAAAGCATAAGTGGGGTCACCTTCAGTACTTTTGTTTCTGTATTAAGACTTTTATAAGCAATGACACTCAATCTACTATACGAACACTTTATACAAATGTTGTGTATATATAAAGCAAAAACCAAATAACGAACCCAACTTTGCTACGTTTCAAGCAAAGAGTACCAGTTTAGATTTCCAAACAGTCACATGGAATCAAGCCGTCCGGATTTCTGAAGATATATTATGTAGGATTACATTGCCTCTAGTTGCATTGAATATGTTATGCGCAATAAAGTCAACCCCGACAATGCGCGATTTTCGGCAGCTCAATATTTGTGACACAGAAGCAGTATTTTATCCAATTCGATATGAGAAGAAAACACATTAACAATGCCAAAATCGCTGTGAGAACTTTGTAGGGCAATTCCATGATGTTAATGTGCCTTACAAAATTGCTTTTCCAATTCTGATTATTTTTATGTTATTTTTTGTAATTATTATCAAACATTGTCAAGTTAATAATGACTTCTACAACTTCTATAAGAGTAAGACCGAAGTCAGAGCCAGTAAATACCTATTCCGCGCCATCAAATCCTGTCATAGAATGTGAAGATCAGTTGAGCAGGTTTTGGTATATATTGTGTAACGTCCTATCCTATACATATATGGTAATTCAAGGACTACCTCCCTACGCATGGGACTTGAGTGCATTAGCTGAGTGTGTGTGTTTGTGGAGGGCTGCAATATGTTCGTGTAAGTTAATATTAAACGGTGGCCTTCTTTATTAGTTCTACTACGTTGAAGTATAACGCCGAAGACTCCTAACAGGAGACACCAACGTGGTCACATTATTGATTGGCATGTTCATTAAAGTTTCAGTAAAACTGGTCCATTTTCGTAGTTGCTGATAAATGAGAGTTAACTAATATAAATGTAAAAAAAAATGTTTTGTATCAAACGAGAACAAAGCAAGGTATTGTGGATTCACTACCTAATTCGCTACAACACAATGATGTGTGTGTATGCTTATAAATTGTTTCCTTGCTTATAATAAAATTATCTTACATAAAAGAAGTTGTGAATTGGCGTGTTCTATAAGAAATGGAGGCTCTTAGGTTATAGTACCAACTGGAGACTTGTGGGTTATGGTATACGTTGAAGTCTCGTGGGTTATGGTTTATACTGAAGGCTCATGGGTTATGAAGAAAACTTAGGGCTCGTGGGTTATGGAGTAAAGTGGAGACTCGTGGATTATTGGTTTAACCTGAAGGCTCGTGGGTTATGGTTTAAACTGAAGGCACGTGGGTTATGGTACAAACTAGGGGCTCGTTGGTTATGGAGTAAACTGACTTTCTCGTGGGTTAGGGTTTAAACTGAAGGCTCGGGGGTATGGAGTAAACTGGAGATTCGTGGGTTATTGTTTAAACTGAAAGCTCGTATGTTATGGAGTAAACTGAAGGCTCGTGGGTTATGGAGTAAACTGAAGGCTCGGGGGTATGGAGTAAAATGGAGATTCGTGGATTATTGTTTAAACTGAAGGCTCGTGGGTTATGGAGTAAACTGAAGGCTCGTGGGTTATGGAGTAAACTGAAGGCTCGTGGGTTGTGGTTTAAACTGAAGGCTCGTGGGTTGTGGTTTAAACTGAAGGCTCGTGGGTTGTGGTTTAAACTGAAGGCTCGTGGGTTATGGTGTAAACTGGAGACTTGTGGGTTATGGAGTAAACTGACGACTCGTGGGTTATGGTGTAAACTGGAGACTTGTGGGTTATGGAGTAAACTGACGACTCGTGGGTTATGGTGTAAACTGGAGATTTGTGGGTTATGGAGTAAAGTGGAAACTCGTGGATTATTGGTTTAAACTGGAGACTCATTAGTTATGGTATAAACCTGATGGTTGTTGGGGTTTGCTATAAAATGAAGGCTGGTGAGTTATTGTATAAATCTCTCCAACCAGTTATTTCACAGGTAGCGTTGTGTTAACATCAAACGGTATAATTCATACACAGATTAATTAACAGCAGGTCGAACGTTTGCTTCTAGTTAAAAAAAAAAACGAATACCTACATAAATATTATTTAACCTAGTTCTATAGTGTATTTAGGACAGTAAATGTCATATTGTGTATGGGTATCAAGCTTTTTCCCATATCCATTTATCAAAATGGAATTTAATGATACTTGCATAATAAGAACATCACTGTTCTGAAAAAAACTGCGTTTGTTTTATTTAAAGCGCTAAAACGCCATATAAAAAGTAGCTTACTTAAATCCTATGTTTAATAGTGATGTGTAACTTCTTTTTATTCTTTCGGAGACTTTAATCCATGAAATAAAAATTCAAAAATTCAAAATTAAAGGGAAGGAATCAGTGTGTTGATATTATGCAATTTTTTTTTTACACAAATATGCATTTTTCATGATCCAAAAACTGAAATATTTATTTTCTGGTTAAAAAAAAAAAAAAATAGATAAATAAAATAAGTAAATAAAAATAAATAGAAACGTACGATTAAAGTGGTCCGCCAAATAAATATTAGTGGTGATCATTCATGCAAAAATTCACCTGAGATATAGTCTCGCAGAATTACCATAGTAATGGAAAAAATTGTTAAAATTGTTAGCATTAAAAACCGAATCATCTTGACCGTCCCAGAATGAAATCATTATCATTATACAACATTATCAGATTTAAATGCTTTCCACGCTAGCATGGAAACATTGACCTTTGAACTTGCGCATGAAAATGTTACAGGAACTACTTCTGACAAACACATGGATATATAATTACATGTTTTCATTACATTTATCAAATAAGGTATAAAATTAAATTCTTAACCAGATTAGATATGATAATCCCTGAAAATGATTCTGCTTTTTATGTTACTATCATACTTGAAAAGAGGCTTGTTATTCCGGGACACATGGGCCTGTATTCACAAAACCGTTCTCATGCTCAAACTCAACTTTTGTGCTCATGCTCAAGTCTGTGCTCCAGTGAGAACCTACTGAAAATTTGTATACATCAAACTTTCTGAGAACGTGCTCTGCTGAGCACGGTAACTAAGAGAACTCTCTAATGTTTGGAGATTATTTTGTATGTCGCGCAGTTTTTTGCGTACGTGCACCTGTATTCGAGCAGACGACTTAATAATGGCTACCGAAAAAAGAAAGTACAGTGGAGTACAGCGGAAGAAGTCTCCTTGATCCAAGCAGTACATGCCAGCGAGGACGTACTGTTTGGATCAATGACTGGTTCTGGGGCTATCAAACTAACTGCGAAAAAAAAAAAAAAAAAAAAAAAACATGGGATGACATCACTGATATGCTAAATTCGTAAGTATAAGAATCCATGTAAATACTTGAAACGTCACATTTACCCTCACTAACATTTTTTTTTTTTTTTTTTTTAATAATTCTTTCACAGATTTCGCTCTGTATGAAACGTGCTGCCGCCACCATAATGAGAATGATATCCTGAGCATGGGCAGGACCATGCTCAAGCAAACTTGAGAACGTGCACAAAAGTTGAGCAAAGAATTTTTGATGAATACGACTTGAGCATGAAATAAATAGGCGAGCACAAAACTGAATACAGGCCATGGTCTTATTCTGCGTGCACGTGTTTTTCATGAGTTTCCATGTAAATCTATCGTTTCTTCACATTTTTACCTTAGTTTAATTTGGTTTTGGATTATGATTCTCTTGATAAACTAATCTCTTGTTTATCAAACATTTTTTTACGCGATACGACATGCTCTGAGGCAGATCGTTGAACTATATGTCGAACGATAAACGAAATACACAAAAGTGTAAATATTTCCATCCTGATATTTTTACTGCTAAAGTCGACAGTGATGAATCTTCACCTTCAGTGCCAGAGTCAGTCCGTGACAAATCGTACAGTTGTATTGTCAGTACATTTGTTGTGATGATAATGTAACCCTTCGCTCTGTCTGATAGCTTCATCTCCACAACATTGGTCAATGATGTAGCGACAACCATGTATAAGTACAAGCTAACGGATGAGAAGAACTGTTAGTACATATAAATAATGACCGTGCAGTCAATCTAATCATTTAGTTATCTACCGTGATTCTGATTACAAAGACGAAACAAGAAATGAGATATTGAATAGGTAAATTATGTGAGACAAGACAATATGTAAAATGACAAACTAATCGTCAATGTACTGGTGAGAAATCGGCAAGCGGGCGCCATAGCAATTGTATTTGGTGCCTTGTCGCACTGCTTACATCAGTATGATTCGTTAACTATCGACCAAACAGTGCGGTGGATAAAACGTTTCCTGTTATGTTTTGTCACACCAGTGCCACTGTTTAGCTTTTTTTTCGACAAAGCCATTTAAAATCGTTTTAGAATTCCAGCCACGCACTTCGGATCCTCTCAGGCGGCATATGACTGCCGCTTAATACTATAACGACATTCGTAACACCAACAAGATAGAAATAAAAACTTAAACATAAAATATCCACGTAATGGCCAATCCAATTAATATCTTAAATGCATATCAAAGTTTTACTTCTTGGATAGTTTTAAGGCAGTCTTCAACATTGATTTTTCAACATAAGTTATATCACATTGAATATTGTGTCGTGTTGCCATTCACTAATACGAGTCTTTATTGCAAGAAGTCATTGCAATCTGTACCCTGCTGTTGACCTTTCTAGTGTAAAGATATATATTGATATCCTAATCATTAAGTTGCCCTTTTGCGTGTGAGAGGGTGTCATTATTGGGTTTTGTCGCGGTTATTCACAATAGAGTAATGCCTCACATGGTTTGCCTCCTATATGTACGCGTTGAGTCATTTGAAGACCGAGGATTCTTAAATAAGATCGTTTGACAATGTCAAATTACGGATCAGTCTAGCGTTAAATGGGACTTTTCTGTCTGTTGTTGACAAATGTGACCTTTTTGGCTAACGATGGCAGTCTCAACACATGCACTCACCTCGCTTTACACCGCGGTGCCGTCATTGAATGACCATAGATGTTGATATAACGATAAGCAATGTAAAACACTAAACCTTATCAAAGCGTCTTTGATTGACCACATTGGCCGTGAATATGGAATTCAAATGGCCTGGACATCAAGCAATGACCTACTTTCAGGGGAGACTGATGTAATAGCTCTAGAAGACATATCGGACAGACGGATGAAACCTTGACTATATGTCAAACGAATCATTTTCGGAGAACATAAACAGCTTTTTGACATGCTATCAGCTCGATAAAGCGGGCTAAGAGACAGAAACTCTGATAGATGTATACACATATACCCGAAAACGATGAAAATTCTACATTTATGGGATCACATTAATCGTTAATTGTTTCATCAATCCGACTAAGAATGACGCTGTAACATTTTGTTTAGGGATCGAATGAGATTCATTGGCCTAGATTTCAATGTAGCACGTTTCTTGTCACACAGTTGTGAGTTAATGGTTTCTTGTCACTCAGTATTGAGTGAATTGTTTCTTGTCACACAGTACTGAGTGAATGGTTTCTTGTCACACAGTACTGAGTGGATTGTTTCTTGTCACACAGTACTGAGTGAATGGTTTCTTGTCACACAGTTCTGAGTGGATGGTTTCTTGTCACACAGTACTGAGTGAATTGTTTCTTGTCACACAGTACTGAGTGGATTGTTTCTTGTCACACAGTACTGAGTGAATGGTTTCTTGTCACACAGTACTGAGTGAATGGTTTCTTGTCACACAGTACTGAATGGTTTCTTGTCACACAGTACTGAGTGGATGGTTTCTTGTCACACAGTACTGAATGGGTTCTTGTCACACAGTACTGAGTGAATGGTTTCTTGTCACACAGTACTGAGTGAATGGTTTCTTGTCACACAGTTCTGAGTGGATGGTTTCTTGTTACACAGTACTGAGTGAATGGTTTCTTGTCACACAGTACTGAGTGAATTGTTTCTTGTCACACAGTACTGAGTGAATGGTTTCTTGTCACACAGTACTGAGTGAATGGTTTCTTGTCACACAGTACTGAGTGAATGGTTTCTTGTCACACAGTACTGAGTGAATGGTTTCTTGTCACACAGTTCTGAGTGAATGGTTTCTTGTCACACAGTACTGAGTGAATGGTTTCTTGTCACACAGTACTGAGTGAATGGTTTCTTGTCACACAGTACTGAGTGAATGGTTTCTTGTCACACAGTACTGAGTGAATGGTTTCTTGTCACACAGTACTGAGTGAATGGTTTCTTGTCACACAGTTCTGAGTGGATGGTTTCTTGTTACACAGTACTGAGTGAATGGTTTCTTGTCACACAGTACTGAGTGAATGGTTTCTTGTCACACAGTACTGAGTGAATGGTTTCTTGTCACACAGTACTGAGTAAATGGTTTCTTGTTACACAGTACTGAGTGAATGGTTTCTTGTCACACAGTACTGAGTGAATGGTTTCTTGTCACACAGTACTGAATGGTTTCTTGTCACACAGTTCTGAGTGATTTCCTGATTAATGTACTCAGTATCCGCGGATTTCCTGCTAATTGTTGAACTTAGTTGGTTAATTGAGTCACAAGGTAGACTACAATAACTTTGTAACAGACGACTAAATTTGACTGTATTCTCTTAGTTTTAGTATTTTTCTTCATTTTGTCTCCTTTACTTCGATATTCCAGGGCCTCATCCCATTATCATGATTTCCATGGAAGAAGTCGTCAACTGACTGACAAACTCGTTACATAAGTGTTCAAATATGCAGGTTGATGAATTTTATGGGGAAGTTTCATGGTCGCCTTGGTGATCTAATTGAGAGGGTTTGTATACCTTGCTCTCATATGAGAACATGACATGACTTACTTGGATTGACC